CTTAACCTATGAATGTCTCACTGACACTCCAGCAAGTGAACCTCAGTGTGAAGGCACGAATTTCAGTGTCTAATCTGCGAATTTTCGGCACATTGGTGCAATGAAGTTTTTTTCTCAAGCTTACTTCAGTCAGACTATGGATTCCTCAAAAGCCAATGTAAGGAATTCTTATCAAAAAGTAAAGCCTTATGAGACGACATCAGAATCTATGGCATGACGACGAGCTATATTGCGGTAACCTGAAGGTAGTATCATCGCGATCTGAATTTTCTTTCTGCGCATTTTCGAATTTGCCTATAGCATTTTCTTATGATCAGAATGGGGCCACTGGCTATGTGAAATTGTAATTTACTCATACGAATGATTGAATCGAACGTTTTAACTAAATAGTACAACTCTCGGTCACAGTTTGTGATTAGGTGGGGAAATAATCGTTAGTGGAACAGCGTCAGCATATTCAACTGGTTCTTCTAAATTCGCCGCATGCTGAAGTGGCACTTCTTCTCTGTAAACGTTGAACATTTACCAAACTGTTCACTGGCTACCCCGTATATAGAGGCACTGAATCTTGACCTCCAAGGTTGTGCTAGTGGGAGGTTTCTTCTGTGCGTTGTTGAACAATAAAAATTCGCAGTGTGCATGGTAATATGATCTAAAAGCGGTCTGTGGATCTCTGTGTCCAATTTGAGTTTTCTGCGGGTAATTGCCCATTAGCCACAATTGCCATATTCCTGTGAAAAACACCGGTTTATCACTGCATGCTTTGCCCCTCCCCGTTTTTCTCTCTTGCGCTACGCCGCGATAAGCGCCAGCGTCAAAGTCGCTGCCAGTGTAAGCGTTAGCACCCACAGCTTTCCATCTACACGTGGTTCCTTTTAGCGGGAGATGATGTCCTTTTTTTTTCTTATTTATTTTTTGCAGAATGTAAAATTGTGTTAAATGAACTAAATTTTTAGAGAGACAGTTTGTTGGTAGTGATTTTTGTCAGTGGCCCAGCAGTCAAGCCGACTAATGAAGTTTTGCGGAGGCGCAAAAACGCTTGAACTACGCGTGTACGCCCAAACTTTTCACTGTACTTGTACAAGGCTTTATCAGTGCTCGCTTCCTTCACGCGGCTTCAAGGTACAGCTCAAGGAAGGTGCCCCACGTTCGCAGAATTTTATGGACTGCAGACGGTGCAGAGTGCTGCCCACCTATATGCAAACGCCGCCCTAAACAACGTTCTTTGTCTTCCCGCAGTTGAGACTCGAGCTCGTTGCTTGCGAGAGGGTTCGACCTTAGCACTAACAAAACTGAACGGCTCTCGCAAACTAGACTTCTGCGTCCGCGACGTCATCCGGGCGCGCAAAGCACTGATAACATATAGAGCAGGTTTCTCTTTGAGGCTCCATGCAGCGGAATCACCCAAATAGTCTTCCTTATCTTTTATTTTGCTTTATTTATTCTACATTATTATTATTATTATTATTATTATTATTATTATTATTATTATTATTATTATTATTATTATTATTATTATTGCTGCTGCTGACCCGCCGGTCGCGGGATGAAATCTCGGCTCCGGCGGCTGCATTTCCGATGGAGGCGGAAATGTTGTAGGCCCGTGTGCTCACATTTGGGTGCACGTTAAAGAACCCCAGGTGGTCGAAATTCCCGGAGTCTTCCACTACGGCGTCTCTCATAATCATATGGTGGTTTTGGGACGTTAAACCCCACAAATCATCATCATCATCCCGTGAAGTAGACACTATGTTGAGCTGCGGGGCAAACACAAATGGTGCTTAAGAGCAACGCGCAATCATATACGGCCGTTTTGTTGATCTGAATCAACGTTAGGTTTTCCCAACAAGCAAGCGATGACGCCCTTGATAAACCAAGGCCGACGCCGATAGCGTATATAAAGCACACAGGCTGCCACTCAACTTGCACTCATGTCTATAGCAAATAATAAAGTGTCAGTGCGTGAGAGGTAAGCACCCTTTTTCAAGATCTGCATACGCGTTATGTCACTCATTTCACTTAATTCTGCTTCCGCATCAGAGAATACAGGAAGATATTTGTTGCTGTATGTAACGTTGGCGGCTGGCTTCCTACGAGCGAAGGAGTCAAAGCTAGATCAGTGGTAAACATCAGAGATAGTCGCCAGCATATTGAGACGGAAGTTCATCGGGGCATCAACTTACAGCCTTGTTCTAGTCTTTCTTGCATATTGTCGTGTCCTATATCTAGCTCCTTCATTGCTTAAAAAATAAAGATTGTTCTGATCGACGTCTACTCATTCGCCGCTCCCAATTTCCCAAACATTTATGTTCCTTTCTGACCTCGTGGCTTTTCTGTCGCCTTCTTTCTTTCTGTTTTGTTCCAGTCAGACTCTTTTCATAATAATTTTTTTTCTGAGTTTAATGTGTTCGTCTCTATTTCTCTTCCCCACAGTGCACTCCCCGACAGCTCCTACGATAAGTGTGTCGGAACGTAACGAAAACCAACAAGCAAAAACAAGCAAAATGATTTGACCAGAACGCAAACGCAACCAAAACGTTTAGTTTTTTTTGTCCTCGTTTCGCAGCGAACTTGAAATGTCTTTTTTCATAAATCACGTCTCGGTTCACGGAAAACCTTGGCGATCCGGAACTAGTGAGCTCATGTTGCATGACCAGCAATACACACCTCAGGCGGCAGAATAAGCGTGCAGGAATTCCGAAGTAAAGATACTACTTGTTAGCGCTGCGGTTAGTTGAATTTTTTGGTAGAGTTACTTGCGCCCTTCGTAAGCGTACGTGGCAAAAGCTTTTTCTACCCCACGTTCCTAAGAAGAACACAAGTAACTATACCACGAATCTCAGGTTTTTATCATTACTCCAAGTTCAAGTTTTGTATGCAAATAAATCCCACTGCAAATCATTGCGGAACTGCTTATTTTATTCCTGTACAGCGAAACAGAGCGAGACTTTTTTGCGGTGGCACGAAACTGAAACCAAACAAAAAGCATTTCGTTCAGACACCTTCATTCTGGTGGACGAAATTTGTGGGATCACACGGCACTCACAACTTGTATGCCCTTCTTTCCCCTACCCGCGAAATAATTATTAGCAAAAAATCCATCATCACTCCTTCCCATTCCGCACTATTCAGTAACCCGCCCTTCGCCAAGAAGTACATAATCCTGCGTAACCCTTGGACGGCACTGAACAACAGGGGATTTCGTATATCTGCCTAATCATTCCTCCTTCTTGCGTATCTTCGGAGTCATAGAGTTTTCTAAAATTAACTAGAGGGGACTCCGGCGCTGCGATCGTTCAGCGACCATGGGAATGATGGGTAGTACACGGAATTGCCTGCCCCCGCCGCGGTGGTCTAGTGGTTGATGTACTCGGCTGCTGACCCGCAGGTCACGGGATCGAATCTCGGCTGCGGCGGCTGCATTTCAGATGGAGGCGGAAATGTTGTAGGCCCATGTGCTCAGATTTGGGTGCACGTAAAGGACCCCAGGTGGTCGAAATTTCCGGAACCCTCCACTATGGTGTTTCTCAAAATCATATGGTGGTTTTGGGACGATAAACCCTACAAATCAATCAATCAACAATCAACGGAATTGCCTAGTCTTCGTGCTTGCGCGCGACAAACGCACTTGTGGCTTCGTTGATTGCTGTGTTGCGAATTCGTTGTGAAGGAAACAACAAACCGTTTTTCACTTCGTGAACCAATTTGGAGTGGTAAGTCTAAGAGATTAATGTGGTGTAAGTGCCGAACATTTGCCGATTGTTGTTTCGTGACAAAGCAGCGTCAAGCCACGCGAAGTCAGAGCGAACTTAAAGTATATACGAAGACTAGGCAAATCCATGTCATACCCCGAATTCCTATGCTCGCCGAAGCGCTGTGTGTTGCAGCTCCCACAGACACTAGCGCCAGAGTAGAGTATATTTAGGAAACTTCATGTTAGGAATCTCCTCCTTTAGTAAGACACGCTGTAGCTTATTTTTTTTTCTCCTATTTTGTTTCACTAAGTCAGACATTTTGCCCCGTTCTTCATGTGACCAGTCACTGGAGTGTGTTTATCTGTCTGGTTTTATTTAACTTTTCAATCAGCACTTTCTACTCAAACAAACATGTAATCAAATTTATTTGCAAAGTGCTCGTAAAATATTTTTTTCTGGCTTAGTTCAAGCCTACGGCGAACGCCACTAAACTAGTGACCAAACCCAAGACTCACACTCGTGAAGTTCCAAGGTCGCTGAATAAAATATCGGTTAGGCATAGTGGGCCCAAAAAAATTCAAGGCGAAAACTTACGCGCAACGCCAAGGCGGCTAAGAAAGAATAGGGCAAGCACTGGTGATGATTTGGCAACCACGCGCATAAATGTCAGAATCCCGCAACTATGCATCCGAATACATACCAAGACACCGTATTGCGTAACATCATACATAGCTAACAAGTAATCAAACATTTGTTAGTCGGTGCCAGTGATGATAATATTCGTTGCTATTTCATATGTCCCAGAACCACGATATGATTGTGAGGGACGCTTTAGTGGAGGGGGGGGGGGGGGTTCGAAAACGTTGACCATCTGGTCTTCTTTAACGTGCACTAACAATGCACAGCACAAGGGCGTCTACCGTTTCACCTCCATCTAAATGCGAACGCCTTGGCTGGGATTGAACCCACAAGCTTTGGGTCAGCATCTGAGCACCGGAACAGGCACACCATCGTACACGGCGGGCTGTGAGTGCCGGTGCTTGAGTAATGTGTTCCGTGAGGTCCTTCCTGGCGTTGCGTGTAGGTTTTACACTTGCAACGTTGCTGAGCCTCCCAAAACAAAACAGAAGATATATTGACGGTGGGATTCACTTCATAGTACTTACTATACCAGTGTATACGCACTTAAGCATAGGAATAAGTATAAAGTTGATTGTTGCGCATATTTTATCTATTTTAGATCAATTTTTCTTGCTTCGTGTTCAATACTTTTCACTTGGCATATACGCTCGGGAAAACACTCACCCCTGGCGACACCGCTTCCCCTCGTGCCCTTTTTGTCCTTGTTCTTCTTCTTGCCACGCTTGTTATGCCGCCTCACTGTAACGCAAGAAAAGGAGAAAAGAATTAAAGAAAGTCATCACAGTCCAGCGTGTTAGCTCTAAACTGTAGAAAAACAATGTTTAAAAACTTACAGCGCGTTTCTTCACTATGTCGCTTTTGTCACCAGCGATGAAAAAAAAATTCGTGGACGTCCTTTGCTCGCAAATGGGTCAGCATGCTGCTTCTGATCAGTCTACTCACTTTCATTTCGTCTTCCTTGATCAAAGGTTTCAGCACCATTGTTTTACAAGGCGTTTACAAGACATTGCATGAGAAGGGCATTACCTGACAAGTACATATAATCTCCCAGGGCCCTTTATGCATTCTCCAAAGATAACTGAACGCTTTCTTTCTCATCTCTGCCAAAGTATGAAAACCCCAGCCCCCACACCCCTTATTTTCTGAAAGCTTTCGGCACCTAACATGGTTTCCCACTGCCTCTAGGATTTGAGGCACTGCAAGCTTTATGCGCCTCGCTTGCTTTTGCACTGTAGCCTCCGTGATCAGCTCACCTTTGACCAAGCGACGACGGCGTGTAATGACGTCATCATCAGGCCCCATAGTTTGATCATCACGTCATCTCAAGCTATGGCAATCTGTGACGTCTGGATGATGTTACCCGGCGACGCCATTATTGATCATGAGTTTTGCATCACTCACGTTGACGTAACGACACGGTCACTTTTCGCGTTCGGTGAAACATCAAAAGCTTTCGTGTCAATTTCAAAAATTAGGGAACCATAAAGTTTCGCCTTTAGGAGTTGAACGTGATAGCGACATCCCGTTCCTAGTACGTACTTCAAACGCTAAGTGCATGAAACCTTTTCGAATTTGCTACGCACCCACTAAGCGTGTAGCGAATTCGCCGTAGCGTGTGTGCTTTTCGTAATGGAGTACTAGCTTTCCACCAAGGAGCCATTGTGATAATCACATATTTTGATGCCCTTTGGCCAAGGACGCTTGTACCACGCATTATTACTGCAATATTTCGTGTTGAATTGTGAAGCATGAATACAGGACGCGTGTGTTTGTGAAGCATGAAAGCCACTCTCGGCGTATTTCCAAGCAGATGGAGTTCTTTTCACTGTTTTCACTAGCAGAGGCTAGGCCGTGTGGTAGAACATCCGCTTGCCCCGCAAACGATTCGGGTTCTACCCCCACTTGTACCCAAACAACCCTGGTTCGGTCCCTACTAGGCTCCTTGACTTTTCATCATTTATTTATTATATTCATATCGCTCTCAATTTTTTGTTCACGCATAAGATGATGACTTTTCGTTCACAACCAACAATGCCGACGCCAGAATTTTCGCTAAACGAGCTCTTAAACGCTATCGCGTTAAAGAAAACGCAATCGGGAAAGCGTGAAGCAGCATTCCTTCTATTTATAATATTTTGTATTGGCTATATGTCCTGATAATTCTTAATAAGCGAAACGCGTTTATGACACCCTTCTCGCCGAATTTCTGTCCACGTGAGCTTCAGCGCCAGTGAACTTCCAGCAATTCAAATAATGATCCAAACTGCAATCCCAAAATTTTTTAGTATCGTCTGAGAACTTTTGAATTCAAGTGTTCTGTAAGTTATAACTGCTTTACCTCTATTTTGTTGTTCTTTTTACTCAAATGTACTTTTTCTAACACTCTTCTATGGTCTAAGATAGACCGCAGTATTTAAATTTAAAAAAATAAAAATAAATAAAGGCTCAGCCGATGTCACGAGGACGTCCACTAGTGAGCCCAACGCGTACCTGCCAACGCGGCAGCAAAATTAAATGACGTCACAAAATGCCCTAGTTATATACTTGTTCCTAAATGACATTTTTGGTGAAGCTGTCGCACGATGAAATTTAATTACGCCTTGGCATGACGTTGTCGACAGCAGACACTTCAGTGAGCAAGCTAAATAAGAACAAAACAAAAAACACTCACAAGTTGACTCAGCCTTCAACGATAGCAAAATGCAGGAATCATCGTACTTTTTATTTATTTATTTATTTATTTATTTATTTTCAAATACAGCAGCCCAGTTTAGGGCTATTTCTGGAGGGGGGAACATAAATACAAGCAAAAAATAACAACAATACCACAGCATCTTCTCTAGAGTACAAATGACACCTCCTAAGCACAACCGAGTATATATTGAAAGAAAGAAGTATTAACGTCACACAAATGACTCTGACAAATCTGATATATTCGTTTCGCGTACAGATCTAGGTAAGTCGTTCCAGTAAACAATTGTCTTTGAAAAAAAAACTGTATTTTATTGGGTTAGTACACGCGAAAAATGGCTCATTGTTGAGAATATGACCTCTTCAAGTTATTAGAGCACAGCATACATCACGCGATTGTCATCACATAACAGGTATGACGAATGAACGGCAGTATGCAATAGCTTCAAAAAATCGATATCACGCCTAGTACATAATGGTGATGACTTAAAAAATTCATTGCAGATAACTAAGAAAAATCACGGTCATAACAATGAAACATGAAACGAACAGATTTCCTTTGTACACATTCAATTTCATCTACGTCACACACTTTGTATGGATTCCATAAGCCCGAAGCGTAGTCTAACATTGGACGAATTAGTGTTTTGTACAATAGCAATTCGGTAGATTTTAAAGATGCAGCTAACATTAGTCTTAATTACTCTAATTTTGTATGCTTTAGATGTAATTTAGTCTATGTGGAGTGACCATTGCATGTTGTGTGAACATAACGCCAAGATAAATGTATGTCTGTGCCCGGGGAACAGCGATGTTGTGGAAGAAGTATGCATGGTGCGATGAAAAAAGGCTGTTCGTGAATGGCAAAAAATACAGTTTCTTGGAACTTTATGCGCATCTGTCAATCCGAGCATTGTGAACAAAAATGGGCAGAAGAATCCTGAAGTATGATATGATCCTTAGAAGAAGTGCTTACTTGATGAAATACACAATCGTCGGCATAGAAAAAATATTGGGACCTAATATTGCTGGGATGATCATTTATAGAAATTAAAAACAACAGATGAGCCAAAACGGAACACCGGGTGTAACTTTTACGGCTGAGGATGGCTTAGAACCTAATGAAATGAATTGAGAGCGTTAGTATACACAGTTTCCTGTCCAGTCGACCAACTGCGGATTATTTAAAAACCTCTAGTTTAGCTAGAAGCTTGACGTGAATAACAGCATCAATCACCTTTGAAAATTCATATATAACAAACTAATCTGATCACTAATGTCTAAATCACTCATATTGTAATGTGAAAATTCCACAAGCTGCGTTAATTTGCTGAGGTCACCACGAAATCCATGTTGTGTGCTGATCGAAAAATCATTTGCTTTAAGAAACTCAGTTATGTGTATTTGAATGATGTGTTCGACTGCTATCCGACTTTGAAGGCGGGTGATATGGGTTTGTATTATTAGGGGAGCTGTCTGTTTCCTGACTTGTGCAGGGCAAGACCTTGGCTAACTTCCAGGACTGAGGGAGTGTACTTAAGTGCAAAGATTTGCTAAAACTGAAGGTCGAATTACGTGAACCCCTGAAAGCGCACCGCACGAGAAAGCTATTTGGAATATTATCTGGGCCAGTACACTTCTTCGTATCTAACTTGAAAATCAAGCTCAGGACACCGTCTGTGCTAATTACGAGATCATTGACGTGCAGTTTTCATTTAGCACTTCTGAACAAAATGACGGCATTAGTGTCATGCGTGAACACCGATTGAAAATAGATAATAAACTCATTACCTATAATAAAATGGTCTGAAACAGCTGTATTATCTATAATAAAGGAAACTGTATCAGTTATATAGTGGGGTTGACAGAAGACCAGAATTTCTAACGGTTACATTTCAGTAAAGCATGAAGGTCAACATGGTAATAAATGTTCCTAGCACATTCCTCTTTTTCACGTAGATCTTTCACAGCGGTGCCAAAGCGACTGATAATACCTCTCTTTTTCAAATGACGCAGACGACGAACGCTACGTGAAGTTTGCAGCAAGCTGCGATTCATCCATGGAATCTGGAGATTTTGTTTAGTTTGCTGAGGTACGAATTGACCAATGCATAACTTCACCATATGCTCACATTCACTGACTTAGGTGTCAACGTGACCGTTAATGTATAGTGCTTGAAATGAGTCAAAGTTGGAAGCAAGCATATCTGTGATAGAAGTGTCGTCTGCATCAACAAAGTAACGAAACTGCATAATTTCCGTCTGCTGCTTATTTAGATGAGATGGAAGCGATATGTGCACAGCATTGTGGTCAGAAATGCCCTCAAGTATGTTGCATTAAAATGCACTTTGAACTAAAAGTGAAGAGAGTAGAACATTGTACTATTTGATTAAACCCAGGGTTAGTGAAAAAGATAACAGTTCTCTACAAATAGAAATTTCTTGCCCAGTGCAACTTTTTGTTTGCCAATCAATACCCGGTGCGTTGAAGCCCCCCACAAAGACAAATTGTGAGGTACCGAAGTGAAGTTTGTGCATAATGTGCTAAAACATTCTAAATATGCCAAAGAGGAATCTGGCGCTCAATAATATACACCAACAACGAAAGACCTTTTATTTAAACAGAGTTTCCACCAAGCAAGTTCAACGTCAGGTGTGTCGGGGAGCACAAAACGTTTACGTCAGAGCGAATAAGTAGTGCTACACCACAACCTTTGTCATGTGATCGGTCATTGCATACTGCTATACGTAACCAGGTAGGGTGAATTCACAATCAAACATTCTACCATGTAGCCAGATCTTCATTATAGCAACTACATGGGGAGGGTACGACGTAACAATGGGGAGTTAAGGAACGAGTTTTTAATGGTACCTCTGGCATTTAAATACAAAAAAAATTATTCGGCAGTTCCCACGTACCTGGGAGCCGACATTATGCGAAGCATGCGGAAGGAAGGTGATCGTGTTGCAAATTTTTAATTGAGCGACACGTAATAAAATTATGCTAAATATATGTACAAAGGTTGCACACACAGACATATGTTGAA